AAAATTCTAATGTAACCAAGAATAAATGTTTTTTGATATTGTAAGGAAATCAGCTGTGACATTGTGAAAAAATTAGAGGAAAAGGATATTAAATTTGTAATATTAAATAAATATTTCATTTAGAATGTTTAATGTAAAATAAATTCTTTTATTTACAATGTTTAATATTTTCTACTAATACTTAACATATGCTATAATTGTCAAAAACCAAAATAGCATCTTCCTTTTTTTCTATTTCATTCTGTCCATTAAAAAAGTGTTTTTTTTTATAGAAAATGTGTCTCTGTATATGTAGTTTATGTTATTTCTGTATTTCACTCCTCCTAAAAAAGTCAAGGAGTATTTTTACTCTTCCAAAAAAATCCTAGGAATAACACTGCTCTAGTTGTTTGCTCGTTACGACAATGCATGCTCTGGGTGAGATTTTTGTGGACTGGAAAATCTTTGCTTAAGTTTTTATATAAAATATTCCATGATAAAGGGAACCCTCTTATCTGTCCTTTCATGCCTTTCATGCAGTATGGCTCCTGGATTAGTAAGATATTGTAATTAGATTCCGAGACAAACTGCACAAGTGAAGATGTGGCTTCCTTGCATCTTCTAAGATTACACTGAAAGCAATTAAGGTTCTTGAGAATTTGTGAAGTTTTTTATTAGCAATGAAGGATTTGTGATAAATGAGGCATCCATAAATATACTTTGCAATTGAAAAATGAGAAAAAGAGAAGAGTAACTAGGTAACTCAGAGGCTAAATTATGTAGATGAATCGAAATGAAGTAGGATTTAGACTATTTGGTAATTTGTGACAGCTTTAATTTTTTCGCTTTCTCTCTTGCACAGAGGACACTGAGGCGCACATGCTGCATGCTTTTAGTTAATTTTTGTGCCATTTGCGTTGTTGTACACTGTGCAATTTATGCAGTTAGGTATCTTGGCTTGAATGATTGCCTCCACAGAATGCGCAATATAATTTAAATTTGCTCTTGTACTGAGAATGCATAAAGGCTTGAGACTGTGGAAGCATCGTTTGATGCCAAAGAACTTTGCAATAGGGACAAAATTCCAGTTATAAATAATATTCGTGTGTTCCATGCATGTCTTAAAGGTTGAAGAATTATATTCAGAAATCCATTTTACAGTATTAAGAAGTCTTCCTTTTACCTTATATATATCCCTTCTTTGTCAATGTTGAACTGATCAACCAGTTCGTCTATAATGAGTTCTGGAGGAGTATCTTTAGGAATATTATAAATGGATACTTAGGGTGATCTTGAATTTGGAGTCTTAATATCAAAGGGATTCAGCATCCGCTGTATCGTTCAGTGCATCTGACACCTTCTTTAGCTCCTCTTCAGAATTACAACAGATGGCTATTCCTTCATTTTTAATTGGAGCAATCTTGTTTATTTTTGCTTTAATGTATTTTAAGGGCATTGAGTTTATCATTAATGAGATCTTTGGTATCTTTTTTAAGGTATATCAGGATAGCCGAGTCGTGATCCTTCGGTGGTCTGGCCACGATTTCAGCAAAAGTTTCTTTTCCGTTGCAATAATAGAGGTCTGTATTTGCAATTCTGTCACTATAATTCCCTTTGCGTGTTGCGATGCCATGTGGAGGAGGAGCACCTTGAGTAGGAACTAAGGTTGCTTCTGTGATAGGCATAGTCATTTGGATATCCGTTGCACTTCTCAAGGCAAGTTATTTTAATTTATCTAAATGTTTTTTAAGCAGTGTAAAGAGGTTTTGGGGAATAAGTCTCCTTCCCCCTCTTCTAGTGCTCGCAATATCAATACAGGGTATTGTACAGCTGACTTACTCTTATGTGATGGTCCACATTTCTTCAGGGTCTTGCAAGGAAGGAAATGCAGACACGTTGTCTGGAGCAACTGATGTCAAACTGCCTGGGGGATCATAGACTGTTGCTGCGGTCCTTCCCGTCTCTTCAATCACTGGGGCGGGGGATGGGACAATTCTCTTCTTCCATTTCGCTGCAGCGGAAAGAACACTAAAAGTGATTTGGGAGGGGGAATTGGAGTAGTATTCGATAACAAGCACACTCGCTGCCACTGCATTGTCCAAGACGAAGAAGAGGGGAGAATGCTGAAATTAATTTATCTTATCAGCAGAAGGAAGGAGGGTCGCGTAACCATTTACTGTGTTATAGTATGACAATCATTAACACGAACCAGAACATTATAACTTAGAAAACTGATTAACTAATTAGTAAGTAATGAAGAAACTTACATGACTGAACTCCTAGTACTTTTCTGTAGCTGCAGATGCAAAAATACTCTTGAAAGCCTGAATATTCCGCACACAACGAAGCAAAATGTGGGAGCGAAATTCATGCATGTCCATCTGCTCCCTACACTTCTGAATCATACAGTAGGATTATTGGTCAGTGACTCAGTTTTACACAAAATAATTCCAGTGCTACTTGATGGAAGTTGTTTATTCCATTTGTTCAGATTATTATTATTGTTGAAGTGTATTTGTTTAGATACTTTTACATTTAAGTTTCTAAATAAGAACATGACCTTTAATTTAGCTTTTCAACAATTAATGATATGCCGCCCTGACGGTATAGTGGTCAGGGGAGCCTGACTATGATACCAAAGGGACCGAGCTCGAATCCCGGAGCTGTCATGGATGTAAAATTGTCTGTCCTTTCATAGGAGATAACGGTGGCTGCCCATTAGGTTCCTCCACAATAAAATGGTCACTGCTTCTGGCCTTAGTAGGGGCCAATGCTGTTATAGGCAGGTGCCCGCCATTCATTTAAAAAAAAAAAAAAAATGAACGATATTATAACAACAACATAAATGTGAAAAAGGGGCCAAGTTCGGGAGAAACGATGTTCGGTGTAATCGGTGTCACCGACAAAAGAGTTCCTATCTAACTGATGGCAAGTTCCATAGTTCCTTTAATCATAGCTTGTAGGAATGTATAGCATTCTTCAATCCATTTAAAATATAATTTATTACTTTCTTTGATATCAGATTTCCAACTTGGGAGGTTTTATTGTCAATAAATTGCATTAAAAAGTTAGACATCTCCAATTGCACCGGTGAAATAAATTAAGAGAATTTGCATATTTCATCGAATTGCATGAAAAGGACTGAATTGAAGGAAAAATAACTGCTTCTAGATAAAAATTAAATCTTATACGGCAAATACGTAAGCCTACACATGTGTGTAGGCGGAGCCAGCAGACAAACAGGCTTTATAAGCACGTTGAGGGTAAGACGAATTGCATTCGCTAGCACATCTCGACAAATTTCTTGGTGTTATCTTGCAGTAATCGGTTAAATTCACATTGGAAAAGTAAAAATGAGTAACTACCAACGTTTAGATGATGGAATGAGGTGTTGAATTGGGGGAGGCTAGAGGCAGGCCAATCGCAAGTCCAAATATGCAGAGAGTTTAACGCCCAGCGTTATGTGTAACCTATGGAACAGTTCCAGGATACTGGATTCATTAAGAGAAAGTCTGGGCAAGATTGTTAAAGAGCCACGACGGCCAAAGAAGATCGCTATTTGTCCATTTTAGGGAGGCGTAACAGAGGGGCTACAGCTTCTCTGCTCTCTCAGAAGCTGTATGCAGCCACAGGAACCCGTGTAACAAGGGGAACTGTTTCCCAAAGACAATGCAAAAGGGTTGTTTGCCAGAAGACTGGCTGTTTGCGTCCCGCTCGCATCTACGGACAGGAGAGTCCAATTAGCATGGTGCAAGCAGCATAGTGATTGGAGTACGGAGCAATAGGCAACTGTTCTGTTCACTGACAAGTCTCATTTTAGCCTAAACACCGATTCTCGCCGTACATTCATATGGAGAGAGCCAGGGACCCGCTACCTACCCTCCAGTGTCCGTGTAATCAACAATTATGGCAGTTTAATGGTCCAGGCGGGCATCATGTTGGATGGCCGCACACTTCTCCACGTCTTTGACAGAGGCTCTGTGACTGGTGTGAGGTATAGGGATGAGGTCTTGGAGCCCTATGTTTGTCTTTTCCGTGCTGCAGTGGGCTCCGAGTTCATCTTACAGGACGATAACGTAAGGCCACATGGAGCTCTTCTGGTCGGCGAATTTCTCGAGAGTGAGGATATTCGCCGAATGGATTAGCCAACCAGGTTTCCAGACCTCAGCACTATAGAGCATGTCTGGGGAGGGCAACTGCAACTCACAACTTCCCTCCGAAAACCATCCAGGAACTGGAAACAGTGTTGCCGAATGAGTGGGACCATTTGCCACAGGTACTGATAAACTGCCTTATTTCCAGTATGACATCACGCTGCAAGGCCTGTATGGCTTTAAAAAGGGACCTTATTAACCCATTCTTTTGTGTCTTCTGCAACTGCTGTTTCAGACATTCAGACTCCCATGAGTGTTACACACGAACATTTGTGTCTATTATAACTGTTTATTTTGTTTGTATTACATCAACCTATGTTCACACAAAATTTGTCTAGTATTTCTGGAGTGATAGATCAAATATGAAAATTCTCTTAATTTATTTCACCAGTGTAAAAATTCGTTTAAAGAACAATTTATTACTTTCTTTGATATCTGATTTCTAACTTGGGAAGTTTTAACTGATCTGGGACGAAGATGAAATTACATATAAATGTAAAAGACATATTAACGGTGCTTTAAATGATCTTTGAAAAACAGTCATCATGACTTTTTCAACAATTTAACATTATATTATTTTTGACGATGATTATGGAAAATATTAAAATTTTTACATGCATGCATTTCATTTGTAATTATGATATAAGTCATAAAAAAGCTACTAATTTTCTCAAGGAATTACTATTATTTTTATCTTGTTCCTTTGTTTTTAATGAAGAAATAAATTCCTTTGGAATTAATACATTTTTGCCATTTCATCAAAAATGTGTTTTTTCTGATATCTTGGACACTCTCAAAAACTGTATGTTTCTTAAGTACAACATTTATATTTTATTTAGATATACCATTATAATTTTTATTTTTTAGGCTCATGAATTTCGAGCTCAACCAATGCCAAGCCCTTCACCTTCAACGCTGCCTGCTGTTCTCAAAAAACCAGCAACTGCACCACAACCATTTCAGTTTTTATCAGAACAAAGGGTTTCAAAACATAATGTATGTTTTATTGCTTCAAACGTATTTTTATAATTTTGTTATAATTCACATTGTTGCTTAAATGCCAAGCGTATTCACTTTTTAATATTTTACAGTATTTGAAAAATTAATTCGCATATTATGAACACTGCTCAAAAAAAAAATGGGACAGTGCTATATCTCCCGCTTTACTGGGCCGATTGACAAAATTCAAACTGCGTTCTTCATGTCTCGAAAGTGCGACTTAGGATATATATTAGATTTATATATAGCACTATTCCAACATAGGTATTTTGACAAAAAATCGGAATTGTTCTGAAATAACATACCAATTTGTTTACATATTTCGATTCTACGACTCAAATTACGCCTAAATACGAAATTTTGTAAAGTTTGGAGTGAAATTTACGGAGAAATTCACGAATTTATGTTGGCACATTTTTTTCAGTTTGCACCAAGAATAATTCACTTGGCGAACTTCTTAATATGTGGCAACCTATTTTCATTTCCATTTTTACATAGTGTGTGAGAGGAAAAAAAGACTCAATCGTTCCTTCTTTCAAATAATGTTCTTTATCTTATATTTTTAAGTATAATTGTTATTAATTTTAAGCAATTTTTTTCTTTTTCGAATTTTAATTGTTTACGTTGCATAGTTTCTTTCGAATAACTCTTTTAAAAACTTCTATTTACTCATTCGAACTGCGTAGTTTAAATCAAAGGCGCATTGTTTATTTATTTGTTTTTTCAAATAGTTTTCTTTATACTATATTTTTAGTCATAGTTACTATTTTAGGTAATTTTTAGACTTTTATTTTCATTGTTAGTGTTGCATTGTCTCTTCAGATAATTATTTTAAAATTTTCTATTTATTCATTCGAACTAAGCATTTTAAATATATTTATGAATGTAAATTTTCCAGAATTTGATTTTATTTATTAGAATTGCGTTTCTTTCGGAAGAATACTTTGTAACCCAGACTACGATGCATTTGAAAACTGCATATATTAAAAGAAAAAATATAGTAAAGCACACTTAACACGCCTTTCAATGTTCCGTTCAGAAAAGATATATATAAATAGGAGAGATGTATAACCGACATTTTAACATAGAATGACTTGCATACACTGCTTTAAACAGTTTTATCATTGTGCCCATTGCTTTACACAATTTTATCCTACATTTGGTTTCTTAAAACGTTATTCATATTTTAGTCATATATTTTATTTTTGAAATCGCAAGAATCAAATATCATAAGATTAAAAGGTTTTAAATTTTAAAAAAATACAAACACTAAATTTTACGCAAAAATTTATTTTTTCTTCAGGCATTCTACTTTATTCTTGCTCTTTTTCTTTAGGCATTCTGCAAGTATATTAGAAAGCATCCAACTTTTTGAAATATCTTGATATTTCTGACAATCATTTTAAATAAAGTTATCGCCTTCCATTTCATAAAGGCCCACAAACGGCCGAGCGGTAAAGTCGCTGAACACTGGTAGTTCACTCTGGGGTTTGAATCCCGGTAAACGGACTGGTTGCATGTGCGTTTTCGTGGATTTTCTCATGTGTAACTTTTTGGTTTTATCAGTCTTTATCAGTCTTTAGAGCCTTTATCAGTCTTTAGAGGCTAAACATTTTGAAGGTATGAGATGAAAGGAAAGACTGGTTTCATCAAGAGGTTTTGGTTTATTTAATTATGACAAAGCACACTAGGGCTATCTGCCTAAGGGGAGGGATGGCTTCGTGGAGGACTTTCTAAGGGAAACTGGCTCGCGTACACGTTACACATGGGGAAAACCACGAAAACGTTCATGCAGCCAGCCCGTTCGAAGGATTCGAACCTCGGACTGAACTACCAGTGTTCAGCGACTTTACCGCTCGGCCGCTGTTTCATCAGGCGGGGAAAAAAAACATCTTTAGGTGACATCCACATACATCACTGGATAAACTCCTGAATCTTGAAACAATTCGACTGAGAAAATCATGGGATTCTCCATTTATGATACGATGTGATGTTCTATAACGTAATTTAAATTTATACAACCATATAGTCTAAAACCAGTCGCTCTTCACTTTAATCTGCAATATCGTTTTTGTCTTTTCTGTTAACACAAGCTCAATTGATGATATTTGCTGGTGTACACGTCCAAGTGTTTTCTCTTTGAACACCTAAATTCTTTGAAGTATCCTGAAAGTATATTCAAAAGCGTCCAACTTTTTGAAACATCTTGGTATGTCTGACAGCCAAATTTTCCTGAAAATTTTTGCTTACTTTTCTCCCTAATTTTCTTCTTTCCTTTTACAGTTATTTTCAGTGCTCACACAAGAAAATTAAGATTTTTCGATTGTTAGACTTCCATAAATTTTGCATTCTTGTCAATTTTTTAAAATATCAATTACATGAATTGCGTTTCAGCTGAAGACAGCTTTTCATTTTCTAGTCATTTTAACTATAAATAAAGTTTAAAGCGAAGTCCAAAGGATAAATATTTTAATTAAAAGATTTTTCCTAAATAACAAAGAAGTAAAACAGTCCAGCAGGGTTTATATTGTACCACCGAGTGACCCGATTCTTATATCGGCTGAAACAATCTAAATCTTATTAGAGATCATGCTTTTCTATAACGTGAGAGAAAAATTAGCTTCTTAAAACATTCTTTCCGAGAGGATTAATATAAAAGATTATATTTATGTATATATTTTTAAAGCTGAGACTTGAACCAAACTGTCAAACTTTTAAATTTTTTTTTACATTATGGTTATAATTAAAGTTCCAATTTGAAATGGTCATAAAAGGAAAACTACCAAATGGGGCAAAGTGCCCTTCTGCAGAAGAGGAAACTGCTGCCATTTGCTATACTGAATCAGTTATTGAAGGAATGAAGATATATTATGAAACTTATCTCAAAAAGTGGAGGGAAAAAAGGTTGTATTACATATTAAGGCTTGTTTTGCCTTGTATAGTTAACACAACTTTGTATGAATGTGATAAGTTTAAGTAAATATAAATTTATAAGTATACCTATGGCTAACTTCTCTCAGAATCTGAAGCTTTTCTAAGCATAATATCTTGCGCATTGTAGAATTTACTGTAGTCTGTTTAATAGTTCTGTTTATAGTCTGTTTAACTGGAAATAAGTGTAAATATAAGCTGTTTTGTTTAGAGAGTCTTTTCTAAAGAAATAACATGGCAAATTCTTTAGCATAACCCTTTACAGTTAGCTGCTATAGTACATTCGACTGCATGCTAGTAGATGAATGTTGTTTGTGCATAGTATAAATTATCATTTTCATCCCCAATGTTACATCGGCAATACTCCTTTTCCATCTTTAAGATGTTAATTAACCTAATCTTGACTAAACAAAATCACACATTTTTATTCTGCCCTGTTTGTTTCCAAAGCAAAAACTGTTTTTCCATCATAATCTCGAATTAAAATTTTAATGCTAAAAATATATTTCTCAGAATTAAATTTCATTGGATTTCATAAATCTTTCATTTTAGAAGTTCATAATTCTGAGGCGAAATTACCAAATGTTTCAGCCACTAATTTCAAATTTTTATATCTAAAGTTTCGATTGTGTATAGCCAAATTCTGAAACATTTCAATGTTATGTTCAGTATGTTAGTAACAATACAGCAGAATCTTGGTGATCAGAAGTAACTGGGGCCACATCACCTTAGATAATCAAAAACTCAGTTAATAGAAGCTAAATTTGAAATTATACCAATTTTGCTTTCAACAAGATATCTCAAATTGTTTAGTTGAAATTCTAAAAGTAAATAGGCCCACCAGCAGTCGAGCAGTAAGGTCGCTGGACACTGGTAGTTTGGTCCAACGTTCAAATCCGTGACCGGCTGGCTGCATGGGCATTTTCAAGGTTTTTTTCTATGTGTAATATGTATACGAGCCAGTTTCCCTTAGAAAGTCCTTCACAAAGGCATTCTTTCCCTTAGGCAGATAGCCCTTGAGGCTTTGCTGTAATGACACAAACCAAACCTAAAAGTAAATGTGTATGTATTACTATTAATATTTTAATGAACCCTTTTATTAACAAGTAGAACTTGTTTCATTTCAAATATTTCAATAAATAATCCATATAAGATTTTATTACATTACAAAAACATTTCTGGGTGGGGAAACTGGAATAAGCAAATCCATCAAAATTTATGTAAATTATGAAATTTTATCGAATTTCTTGTAGAAATCCTTGAGACTTTTTTCAAATATGTTAATCTTTTTTGTGCGTGCGTGCGTGCTTACTAGTAATTCAGTTTGGGTGCGAATCCCAGCGAACAGGCTGGCTGCATGGAAGTTTTCATTGTTTTTTCCATTTGTAATGTAAATATGAGCAAGTTTCCATTCAAAGTTGTCTACAAAAGAATCTGTCTCTTTAGGCAGAAAGCTCTTGTAATCAAAATAAACCATGGCTTCTGCTTGGGTACTTTTCTCATTTTTCATATCATTGCCATCCTCACCATCACTACAATTTTTATTGCTTTCAGGATCTCTGCCACCAATGATGTCATAGTCATGCAAAAACTTTAAAATATGGTTTTTCTGTTTTCTACATTTATCCATTCCTAAACATCATCCCTTTCTCCTTTGAAGCTTATCTACGAATGAGTTATTAATATGCTGTGTTTTCATTTTTTTAACACATGTACCCCACACTTTTTACAGTAACTTAAAACAGAAAGGGTGGACCCATTACTGATCAGAAAGTCCAAAAAACCAGTAACTGATAAAATTAATGAATGTTGCTGATTTCGGCCCTTTCTATTCTTACTGCAAATTTCCCATTATTATGATTATTATTGTGTATGTGTGTTATTTCTTTTTAAATTTTATGCATATAAATATGTTTAAAGATATTATATTTTTTAAAGATTGTTATGAATTACATACAGGAACTCTATCCAAGTATAATTTTGATTATGTTACCAGTTATATAAAATAACACTTGAATTGTGACCATTTGCAGTTTTCTTAAGTTGTAGCTCATAAAATTCCAGTGCAACTTCAGCAGTAAACAGTAATGTTTTGTACAGTACCATTTAAATAAATAACTAAGTATGAAAATCTTCATCTCAAATAATTTTTAAATTCACAAAAGCATTTTTATGCATGTTTAAATTTCAGTTTACATTCACTGAAGAGACTGTAATGTTTAAAGCGCAACCAGCTACAGTGTTAAAAAAGGAGCCATTTCTACCAGAGAAACCTGTACAGGCACCAATTGGTAAGTTTTAAGTACTCTGCTGATTTTTGCTTAGTATAAAATTAATTGTTGGGATGCAACAGAATTTAATTAAATCTTCAGATGTGGATACCAGAAGGGAGAAAAGGGAGGGGCTATTCAATAAATGTTGAAACATTTTTAGTTTAAATAATATTTCAAGTTAAGCTGTATTACATTAATAATATTCAAACAAATGCAAAATTAATAAAATGTATCTTAATAAAATATTGTTCTTATTTGCAATAGAAGCGAAAATGTGATTAATTTCATTCTAATAAAAATTACATTAAGAATAATTCCAAAAGTGACTCCATGCCATTTCTAATATATTTATCAATTTACATAAAAAAATTTTAAGTATCTGTTTTCTTGAAGAAACAAAGAAATACAAATTGCTTAGTTCTTACTTAAATCATTTACACAGGAACCTCCAAATTTGTATAAAAGCTCATGATCAAACAGTGAAAGAAGAAAAAAGAGAATATGTATGTAAAGCTAAAATATTTTCTGTAGTATGTTAAATGTTCATTCTTTATCAGTATACTGTAGTAATGTTTTTATAAAATACATTTGCTGCTTATAAAATATTTTAATGCAATCTTCTTAAGGTATAAAATAAAATAATGATTTTGGAAAAATACACTCAATTGCAAAATTAAGAGAATTTGCACATTATGTTGGATTTCTGATAACTAATGGACATATTTAGTAATATTTGGTATGAATATACATTTGTAACTGAGAAAGAGATGTGCCATTCAAAAGTCATTTTGCATGCACATGATTATCAGTAAAGCTCAAAGTACATGATTGTATAAAATCCACATTATGATATCCAACTGAAAATGAGCCTGATATGGGGTATGGTCCCCTCTCACAACCAGACAAATTATGCAGCATGATGACATACTGGGTAAGAGGTAGTCGAGGAATCCCTGTGGCATTTGATTCCACGTCTGCAGCAAAACAGTTTTCAACTCTGGGATGCTTCTCGGAGGGGATGGTGAGGTAACATAATATATATGGTTATCCTTTCAAGAATATGCCAGACATAATATATATGATTAAGGTCAAGGGATCTGAGTGGCCAATCCATGTGGCGAATATCCTCACTCCAGGTAATCATCGATCAGTTGAAACCTATGTGGACGAGCATTTGTTGCCCATTAACAGAAATCCAGGACCAACTGCCCCCATGAAAAGACGTGCATAGATATTCTTTATCTCACAGCAGTCAGAGAGGCTTTGTAAAACACATGTAAGGGTATGCAGCCATCCATCGTAAGGCCTGCCCAAACCATTACACCTCCACAGTAATGATCTTTTCCCTGATGAAGGAAGGATGGATGGTATCATGCTCGAGGCTCTCTCCAGATGCAGAATCGGTGTTCAGGGTAAATCTCCACTTGTCTGTAAAAAGCGCAGTGCTTCATTGAAGTTTGGTCCATGGCATATGTTGTCTACATCATACTAAATATGCTGTCTTGTGTGCTGCAGCGAGTGTTCTATGCCAGAACATCCTTATCTCATGAAACCTTCAGACAAATGTAGACCATGTTCTATCGGCAGCATACAACTCATGTGAGTATTGTGTCACGATGCTGAAAGTGCTAAATAATGATTTTCATTCATTGTTGTGAATGTTGATCGATCTTGTCCAGGTCTTCTCGATATGGATCCAATGTTCTGAAACTGTTTTTACAAATTGAAGACTACAACGTGTATTAACAGTGAGCTCTTTAGCCACTTGTGCTTGTGACTGGCTTACTAACAATTCTCCATCTCATTCCGCCATCGATATGTTTTTGGCTACTCATCTTATCTGATACCCTTGGAAGACGCATGACGAAATGTCATGAAGGAGTACAAGCACAAAAAATGCTGAAAATTCCTCATGTGCGTGTTTATATCTTCTCCACAATCACAGCTCATGACATGCATATGTAGGCTTACATATTCAACTTTGAATATTTGCATATTTTTTTTGACAAAGTAATTACAGTCAAAAGTCGTTAATTCAGACACCCATAATCCGGAATGATCTATAATCCGGACCTCAAAGCTTAAAACTTTCTGCGCATATGCCGCGTTGACACATGCGCATAGGCGTTAATGCATGTGTGTAAAACCTTTACAACTGTGCATTTGCGTGTGCGCAAGCGCAGAATACGTTTTCGCATGCATGTTTAATCTATAACGGACGGTATAAGCTAAAATTATCTAATTATCTATTTCAGTTGATGTTGATGATTGCGTTGTTCCTTAATCTTCGAATTGGATCCAGCTTATTATTTTTTGCAGACTGTAAGAGCAATTTTATAAAAGTAAACTTGAACTTTCGATTATGTCAAATAGAATTTCCGATGCTGGAGCTCCCAAAGGATCTACAAAATGAAAGTATGTTTCGATGTTCATCAAACAAAAAGTAGAATTGCTGCAAACAATGGATAAAGACATGAAGAAGGTGACAGAGAGGTTAGTGAAAACGAACAAATTTCGATTGACAAGTTAGTTGGTATTCTCGGCACAGCATTTACGGGACTTGAACAGCGGAACTTTGTAACTGAACAAAAAATTATGTCTGTTTATATAGAATTAAAGAGAAAGTATTATCACATAAAAAAACGAAGCAACTTAAACAAATAAATATTAAGCTTTTTTGTTTTTGTTTTGTAAATTTTGATACCCTTTAGATCATGATTGTTCTTTATTTCATAAATTACGGTTTCATATTTTTAATTTTAGAATTTCTGCATGCCATTTTACGAGATTTAAACTAATCCGGAATTACCGAAGTCCCGACGAGTCCGGATTAAAGGTTTTTGACTGTATATATAATTTTTTGTTGTTGTCTTGTATGCTTCGTTTTGCTATCATTTGATGTTCTTAAATTTTTTTCTTTTTTTTCTTTCTTTATTTTACATAACTTACATAGATTCTGAATTCAGAATTTCGTTAATTCATGTTTTGAAAGTAGAGATTAGTGATCTGGTTAAGTATTATTTAATGATTAGGGAAACTGATTAGAGCATTTTTCTAATATTAAAAGGTGAAAATAATAAAACTGGATGTGTTTCTGTCGAGTGATTATGGCCAGAATTCTTTATCTTTTTATTTTCTCAAATCTGGAATATCCAGATTTCTGAAAGGCAGACTCATTATCTTTCTGAAATTTGTTTTAGAAAAGTATTCAGAGATTACATAAAAACTTTTAGTCTATATAAAGTTCAGTGAAATGTCAAATTTCTTGTCTGATGCATATGAAGAAAAGTTGGTTTTGTTGTTTGTATTATATAAAAAGAATAAAAAGTGATATCATAAAGCTTTGGGCTGATGTATTCAGGATAAAGAAAATGGAAAATAGAAATTCTTAATATTCACAAAGCTGATCAGATATGTTTAATTTTCTTCCATGTAACCATTGCTGAAATTTCTTTAATCATATGGGTGATTTTATGACAATGTAGATTATCTTTGAGTATTAATATCTAAATGTTGTGCAAACTATGAAATGTTATTTATTTGTACTACACAATAATACACATTAAGTTTTTGGGTTCCAAATTCTCTGAAGACTCTATTATTAAGAATTAAGGGATAATTTATCTAATTAACTGGCTAGCTAACCAAAATGATTTACATTCAATGAAACATTCTTTTAGCAGTTCCATATCTTTACTATAATACCTGTCAATATACATAATAAATGTTTCCATAAATTTCAAAATATTCTACTTCATTCTCTTATGCTGAAACAAAGTCCCAAATTTTAATCATTTCTTCAAGATGTGATTGAAAAACAGATAAACGGCAGTTAACTTTTATCATTTTTTACAAAAATTAAACTAATTTATTGAGAATTAATTATTCGGCTTACATAAAGCCAAAGCATTATGTCATGATTATCCAGTAGTCATGATAAATTGGACTCGGGGTTTGTATACAGTCCTTAAAAGTAGTTTAGTCCTTAGGTTTTTTAGAAACGATATTTAGTCCTTAATTTTACACATCTGATATGTCTGTCTGTTTTTACAACTGCCATTTTGGGTGTAAGTTATATTTGTCAATTCACTGATAAATACAGTTATCTTTTGAATGGGTTTATGGTTATAATGTATTCCAATTTCTAACATAAATGGTGGGCTGCTTGAGTTTCATAGTGAAATAAGTGAAACATAAGCATTTCAAAATTATTTCATTTTTCTAGTGAAGTGCTGTTAAATAATTTTTCATTTTTGGGATGTTCTTTTATTAAACAAGCCTAAATTTGATGACTTATCAACATTTTGGCGATTTTAAGATCAGTTTCTATTGGAAATTTTTAATTTTGAGATCAGGGAATGTTTCAACGATTTTTTTTTTTAAACATTGTAACATTGATAAATTTCAATAAATTAATGGTAATATATTGAAATTGTATTTAAAAAATAACATTAAAATATTATAAAGTTCCATTATGGCAATTTATTATACAATATTTTGAATCTGAAAAATAAACAAGGTATAATGCTATAAAGCACAATTTACGAAACAGTTGTTATTAAAAGCGAAATTAGCTATGTAATTAATTAGAAATGTCTTTTTAATTTTTTCATAGTAAGAGTTTATCCCATGTAATTGTCTCAGAATATTCAGAATTCTCAGAATATGCATCAATTTTTCTCTAAAAAATTAATTTTACACCCCCCCCCCTCTCCAAAAAAATATTTCTAGCTTTTTGCTTTACAGTGTTTGTAGGGATAATTTTTCTTTAGGATTTTAGACACTGCAACTTGGAAAGTTTAGAAGGATTTGAAGGCAAAATTTATAGACCCACGATTCTAGAAGATTCCAGAAAAATATGACAAAATGAAATTGTCTCCATGGTATTAGCAGGTAATGGATGTATTTTACAGAAAGTTTGCAACAACTTTCTTACTTTTTGGAGAACTTCTGGAAGAACAATGAAAAGATAATATTTTAATGTTTTACATCTGATACTAGAATCTTTTACTTAATAT